AATACAGATACCCAAGCACCATGCCCCACCACCTAAAGATTGATTCAGAGGGAAGTCAAACCAGTGCTTCAATAATTCTTATGCTGTGGTCTATTTGCAGAAACACTAACAAAATGACCTATAACATTGCATTGGAATTTGCTGGCCTTAATTTATACTATTATCTGAATTATCTACTTGACAATCCTCTGTAGTTCTGGGGATACACATCTATAGTTGGTATTCGTGTGGGGCCCAAAAGAGGAGAGAACAAAGGCCCCATCTGTCTGGCCTGTATGTTGACCCTTCTGCCAGCCACAGCTTTTCAGCACACAGGAGCAGCTTAAGAGTAACAGTTGCAACCTAGAGGAATACCAGTGGCACCTTTAGATTTTTTTTTCCCCCTAAAGAATGTTCTGGCATGTTTGGATAATGATGATGGCTGGTGACAAGAACAAAACCAAAAGACTAGTGAGGTAGGGGGACACAGGCCAAGAGGGATCATGTAAGAGGAGTTAAGTGAGGAGGATGCAGTTTCTGAACACTCAGGGCTTAATAAAGAACTACTGTCTATTGATGTCAGCAGATAATGTAGGATTTTTAAGTTTTAATGAGGTATAGCTGACATTATACAACTTGATATACACTGATAGTGTTTGTGAAGCTATCACCACAATCATGATAATAAACATGTATGTGCACGTACACATGCACGGATACAGATATATTTCACAGAGAGGTGAACGATGATTGACACAAAGCGAACAGCACACACCAGAAGAAAGCAGTTTCAAGAGGGCTTGCTGGAAGTGTGAGAAAGTTTGTAACTCTCACAATCCCTGCCATCATCCTCAAGGAACACAGTCTAATGACAAAAAAGAATACTGCAACTCCAAGTGCTATAAAAGACTGAACAAAACCTTCAGATAATAATTTGAGTAATTTAGCGATGGTATTATTTCAACAACTAGGATTTAGCACCTCAACATGCCAGTTAGATAGGGAGCCAAAGTGAAGGTTTATTTATATTTATATATAAGTGGATTATTTTCTTGAAATCTGAAGGGTGATATTATGTAAGTCTAAGGTTTTTTGATTAAAAGGTAAAGTAGACTTTTATAGTTTTTAACAGAAATCTATTTCAAAGCATAAAACTCTGACATTTTTACTTTTAAATAGCTATTCTGGGCCCTCCCTGGTGGCACAACAGTTTAAAGCGCAGCATTATGAAGCAATCTGCAGCCATTGCAGCATGAGTTCATTTCCCGGCTTATACCCAGCCAGGAAGGTGACCCACATGGCATGGCAGACCTCTGCTGCTCCCCTCACCAGTGTTTTCCAGTTCATCTGCCTGTTCTGCTCCCCAATCTGACTCTGGTGAATCCACTCACCACCCCCCACCTCTGGTTTGTACCCCAGTTCTTGCATGCATAGATAAATCTTTACAAAAATAGCTATTCTAAGACATTAAATACTGAAAATGAAAATAGACATCAAGATAATAATTGCATTTTAATACTGTTAATTTGTTTATACATGCAAATATTGACTGAATGCCAATCATACACTGCAGACATACTTAGAAGTTCCACTTTACCTGTCAATTGAGAGATAGGGTAGAATACAGATAAGATTGCTACATAGTAATTTCTTTTCTACACTGTATTAATTTCCAACCTTTTTTGTATGAACATCAATCATTATGCTTTGAAACCATTTTTTCCAACACTAGTCAAGAATCTTGTGGAAGATTCTATAATTTATCTAGACATCACCTAGTTCTAGTAATAGTCCCACAGAGCTGTATAATGTAGGTGGATGGGTTCTGAAATTCACACATATAATCAAAATTACCCTTGAAAATTTTTTTACATATCCCATAAAACATAGCATGGTATTCTCACTTTTGTCACAATACATCATAAGTTCTAAAAATCTTTTGCATGTTTTCCCATGTCTTTCTTCTACAGGAGCAATTATGTCCAATACCTGTTTCATATAAATTAACAAAAGCTATGTTGAAGAAAGTCCATAATTTCACTTTTAGTGTGACTTTTGTCCACAGCATGTATCCTTGATAGGTCTAGATAGATGCCTATGTTAAGGCTTAATATAGCTATCATGGCAAATCATTACCATACTTTCATGAATGCTCACTTCAAGGTACAATCCAAGTACAATCTCCTTCCATGAGGCCCTCCTTAAATAATCTCTATTTCTTTGGACTTACACTGAAGTCCAATTAATTATACTTTTAATCTACAGTACATGGACCTTGGCTATGAGATCCTGATTCCTAAGTACAGGAATGTGGGGTTAAGGGGTAAGTACCGCACCAATGAAAGAGACCTTATAATTTGAAAAAGACACGCTTGACCGCAAAGGGGGTCTCTTATAAACCACTGAGGTTCGTCCTTTATCCAGAAAGCAAAGGTGGATCTTTGAAGAGTCTCCATTGAATTTTTGTTTTTTAAATGATGAGTTAACCTCATGAGATTTATATTAAAAACCAGCCCTGTGGGCCCTCCCTGGTGGCGCAGCGGGTTAAAGCACAGCACTGAGAATCTAAAGCCGCTTCCGCATGAGTTCTATCCCCGCCTGCCCCGGAGGAGTCCACATGGCGAGGCAGACCTCTCCTGACCCGCCCGCTGCTCCCCTCAGCAGTGTACTTCGTCGATCTGCCTGTTCTGTTCCCCACTCTGTCTCTGGTGAAGCCTCTCACCGCCCCTGAGCCTCTGGCCTGTACCCCAGTTCTGTATGCACAAATAAATAAATCTTTAAAAAAAAAAAAAAAAAAACCAGCCCTGTAGTATATAAAAGATGTCACAGAATAAAACCATGGTGATGACAAAGAAACCAAAAACAAAGCTATTAAACTAATTTTGGAAACTATACTTGAAGAATATGGTAATAGGAATGATAGGAAACAGGGAGTAACGGGAGACTGAATTAATCAATCAAGCTTGGTAGTATGAGGGCTAAAATAATAAGTCAAATAATGACACACAATTGGGCAAAATTTATATAGAGTTAACATATAACCCAGCAATTCCACTCTGAGCTGGATGTATAAGAGAAATGAAAACATGTTCCACACAGAAAGCTGTACACAAGTATTCATACACAATTTTTATCAAGTCTTAATTTATAATTCTCAAAAGATGGAAAAAAACCTAATTGCCCATCAATGAATGAATCAACAAATTATGGTATGTACACACTGACAAGAACATTGTTCAGTCCACAATGGAATACTAATCAATCATAAAAAGGAATGAAGTAGTGATGTTACAATTTTATGAACCTAAAAAACATTAGGTTAAGTGAAAGAAACCCGACACAAAGATCATATATTACTTGACTCTTGCATATGTTATATTCCAAATAGGCAAATCCAGAGATGCAAAACAGAATGGAGATTGCCAACAGATAAGGGAAGGATAGGTAAGAGGGGTTTTACAAGGTGATAACATTGTTTTAAAAATAAAAAAGAGGTCCTCCCAGGTGGTACAATGGGTTAAATCTCAGCACTGGGAAGCTATCTGCAGCCTAAGTTCGATCCCTAGCCAGGGAGCTAAATCTTAACATGGCAGAGCAGACCCTTCCTGTCATGTCAGCTGCTCCCCTCAGCAACGTATTTCGGTAGATTCATCTGTTCTGCTCTCCAATCTGTCTGATGAATCCTCTCACCCATATCCCCACCCCCTGCACCTCTGATCTATACCTCAGTTCTTGAATGCATAAATAAATACATCTTATCTTGCAAACACATTAATATAACACTGGAAATAGAAACATCATTGTAAGTTACTTGAATTTCACCCCAATTTAAAAAATTTTTCTGTGCAGAGGAATTAGTAATCTGTTCTTCTTTTATGGTTAAAATATAGGACGGTGTAGTGTTTTGAGGGATAAGGAAAAGAACTGAGGATAGTTTTAAAGTACCTATGTAACATAAACACAGAATTTCAAAAAAGAAACAAGCTAAAAATAGATTTGGGGACTATCGAAAACTATTGATAATTTAAGTTATAAGATCAATGAACATTAAGTATAAACCCATAGAGGATCTAACTGAATAAATCCTGAGGGGAAATAAAATACTGGGGGAAAATAAAGAGGCTGCAAAAGTGACTGGAAAGGGCAAGTTACAGAAGTATAAGAAACCAGAAAAAAAAAAAAAAACCTTATCAAGGAGCCAAGGAGATGCATGTCAAAGAAAAAAAAACTAACATTGAGAAACACACAATGCTCAGGAAAAAGGGCATCTAAATTCAGTATATTGAATTCAGTTAGAGAAAAAAAGGTCAAAGCTCTAAAAATATAAGAAGTTTCAGTATAATGGTAATGCAGAGTTCATACCAGTAACACCAAGGTCATAAAAAGGTTAAGCTTTAAAATCCATATTTATTTGTGTATTTTAAAACATATACATTTATG